GCGTGCACACAGACCCCAGCAGGCTGGGCCTTTTTGTACCTTAGGTGGGCTGGGGTCAGAGCGGAGGTGAGGGGGTGAGACAGAGGTGAGTTCCTCCGTCTAGGTTTGGTGCCTAAGGAATGCAGGGGGAGGGGTGGGGAACATCACCAGGTGGGGCTGAGTCGGTCTCTGAAAGAATGCAGGGATCAGGGGTAAATTCCGATTGATTTCATCAAGGAGCTGGAGTGGCTGAGGCTCTGTCCTTGTCCGTCACCTGCTGCTCACAGGGGGGTGGGGGGTGGGGGTGGGGTGTATGTCCAGTAAAGCACCTGTGCCCATGAGCTGCCAGCTGCCCCGGCTTTTTTTTCAAGGAATACCAACTTTACTTGAAAGACTGACAAACTTGGGCCATTATTGTTTTTTAAAGATTTACTTTATTTGAAAGGCACACACATACACACACACACACAGAGATCTTGCATCTGCTGGTTCACTCCCCAAATGGCTGCCACAGCTGGGCTGGGCAAAGCCAGGAGCCAGGAGCTTCATCCAGGTCTCCCACGTGGGTGCAGGGGCCTGAGCACCTGAGCCATCTTCCACTGCTTTCCCAGGCCAGAGAGCCTGGATTGGAAGAGGAGCAGCAGGGACTAGAACCAACGCCCATATGGGATGCCAGCGCTGCAGGCGGAGAATTAACCTACTGTGCCACAGCGCCGGCCCCAGAACTGGAGCTTTCAACCGTGAGTTAGAATTTTGGAACCCTTGCACTTACAGGCTTCCTGGAGCAGGAACCCATCCTCCGACGTGACTAGTAGCAACAGTAACAGATGTGATTTTTCAGTATTACATAGTGAAATGTGTCCAAACGTAGTGCAACTGCATAACTCGGGCAATACTTTCCAAGTGGCAAATGCATGAAGATACAAACCCCGCACACACGCACAGGGCTCATCAGAGTGGGAGACAGACAGAGGTTTTCACACGAAAGAGCATGGATCCGTCATTGCTAAGGCTTCAGATTCTACCTTACAATTAACCTTTTGTCCCCCAAAGATTTACTTATTTATTTGAAATTAAGAGTTAGAGAGAGAGAGGCAGGGTGGAGGTGGGGGAATCTTCCATCCAAGGGTTCATTCCCCAAATGGCTGAAATGGCTGGGGCTAGGCCGGCCCAATGCCAGGAGCTTCTTCCGGGTTCCCCACATGGGTGCAGGGGCCCAAGCACTTGGTCCATCTTCCACTGCTTTCCCAGGCCACAGCAGGGAGCTGGATGGGAAGTGGAGCAGCCGGGACTCGAACCTGCACTCATGTGGGATGCCGGTATCACAGATGACAGCTTAACCCACTGTGCCACAACACCGACCCCATAAATAAATATGTTTTTTTAACAGTAGGAAACCAAAAGAGGAGCGAAATCAAGGCAAAAGGGTGTACGCATCAGGACTTCCCACTGAGACACTCATGAAACTGCCCGTGGGGCCGGTGCTGTGGCGTAGCAGGTAAAGCCACCTCCTGCAGTGCCGGCCTCCCACATGGGCGTCAGTGCAAGTCCTGGCTGCTCCACTCCGATCCAGCTCCCTGCTATGGCCTGGGAAAGCAGTGGAAGAGGGCTTGAACCCCTGCGCCCGCGAGGGGGACCGGGAAGAAGCTCCTGGCTCCTGGCTTTAGATCAGCCCAGCTCCTGCTGTTGCGGCCATCTGGGGAGTGAACCAGCGGATGGAAGACCTCTCTCTCTCTCTCTCTCTCTCTCTCTCTCTCTCTTGCTGCCTTTCAAATAAATAAATAAATTAAACAACAACAGCTGCCTGTGTTTGAGAGGAGCGAACAGGAGCTTTGTAGAGGAGGACTCTCACCCAGGGGCTCTGCTAACTTCTCTGCTCTCCTAGTAAGCAGAGGCTTCCGTCCCACCCACTGGGCCGGCGCCGCCCTCGGCAGCCAGGGCTTTGACTGCTTTTCGTCAGGAGTGTGCTGGGAGAGCCTCCTTCCAGCCCCTGTTCCGGGGCTTCGGCGAGCACACGTGTCGCTTAGCTGGTTGTGCACCCACTTCCCACACCAGACCGCCGGGGTTCGATTCCCAGCTCTGGCTCCTGACGCCCAAGTTCGAACCCTGCCTCTGCTTCTGATTCCAACTTCCTGCCGCTGCGGATCCTGAGAGGTAGACGGCCGCTCACGGAGCTGGGACCCCGGCACCCTTGTGGGAGCCACGGACCGAGTTCCTGGCTCCCGACTTTGGCCCCAGCCCCAGCTATTGTGGGTGCAGTGGTGTGACCCGGCAGTGTGAGTGCCCTGTCTTTCTAATAAATCAACCTAACCAACAAATTCTTCAGGACCTTGATCCGACTTGTCCAATATTTCCATCGAAAGCCCTGTCCTTGATCCGGAGTAGCAGGCCTGCAGCCATCAGGCCGGAGGCTGACCTCAGCTTCAATGACTCAGCTGGAGCAGGCGAGAGTCCCGGCGTAGCCTGGCGCCCATTGTGGGTGCTCTTCAGTCACGGCTCCGAGATGAATTTTCTCCCTCGTGACTGACGTGGAAGGTCTGCCATGGCAGGCTTCATCCTCAAAATCATGTCATGCCTTCATTTTTTAAAAAAAGATTTATTTATTTATTTATTTGCCATAGCAGCCACTTTGGGGGGTGAACCAACGGGAAAAGGAAGACCTTTCTCTCTGTCTCTGTCTCTCTCTCTCACTGTCTAACTCTGCCTGTCAAAAAATAAAAATAAAAAAGACTTATTTTTTTATTTGAAAGAGGTATACAGAGAGAGAAGGAGAGGCAGATAGACAGAGAGAGAGAGAGAGGGAGGTCTTCCATCTACTGGTTCACTCCCCAAATGGCTGCATCAGCCACAGCTGCTCCGATCCAAGCCAGGAGCCAGTAGTCTCCCCTGGGTCTCCCACGTGGGCGCAGGGGCCCAAGCACTTGGGTCATCTTCTGTTGCTTTCCCAGGCCACAGCAGAGAGCGGGATCGAAAGTGGGGCAGCCGGGACTTGAACCAGGAGCTGCTATACAGATGCACACTCCCCAGGTGGTAACTTAGCCTGCCATGCCCGCCCAGAGAGTGACACATTTCTCCACCTCACCCTGGAATCCCGGCCTATACTTTGTTTCTCTTCAAAGACAGCCCTTGTGGCCAACGTGTAACCTGCTGTCTCTTCTGTATGTTCTACGGCTTCAAACCCAGAGACTCACAACGCTGCGCCTGCCTCTTTTCAGGGGAGAAATGACAGGCCATGGGAAGGGTGCCTCTGAGCACAGACAGCCGCTGCCTTCCTTTTAATAGCTGTGTTGTGTGACTTTCCCGGATGTCGCAATCCAGTAAGCCACGCCCCTACTGCCGAAATCAGAGTTGTGTCTAGTGTGCTTTTTTTTTTTTTACTAATTCAAACAATGATGCAATGAACATCCCTGGAGAAGTGACCAGATTTGCTTGTTCAAGAGGTTACTCTGGCTGGCGCCACGGCTCACTAGGCTAATCCTCCGCCTTGCGGCGCCAGCACACCGGGTTCTAGTCCCGGTCAGGGCGCCGGATTCTGTCCCAGTTGCTCCTCTTCCAGGCCAGCTCTCTGCTGTGGCCAGGAGTGCAGTGGAGGATGGCCCAGGTGCTTGGGCCCTGCACCCCATGGGAGACCAGGAGAAGCACCTGGCTCCTGGCTTTGGATTGGCGCAGCGCACCGGCCGCAACACGCCGGCTGTAGCAGCCACTTGGAAGGTGAACCAACGGAAAAAGGAGGACCTTTCTCTCTGTCTCTCTCTCTCTCACTAACTCTGCCTGTCAAAAAAAAAAAAAAAAAAAAAAAAAAAAAAAAAAGAGGTCACTGAACACGAGCTGCTGGAATCAGACGAGATTAGTGGATTGTATCAGCGTCCATTTCCTGCTTGTGGACATTGCTCGCTTGCAACACCTCAGCTCTGAGGAACCTGAGGCAACCAGGTGAAGGGGACACGGGACGTCTCTGCTTACTTCTTATTTTTATTAAAGATTTATTTATTTATTTGAAAGGCAGAGTTACAGAGAGGCAAAGAGAGAGGAGAGAGGTCTTTCATCTGCTGGTTCACTCCCCAGATGGCTGCAATGGCCAGAGCTGTGCTGACCCAAAGCCAGGAGCCAGGAGCTTCCTCCGGGTCTCCCACATGGGTGCAGGGGCCCAGGGACTTGGGCCACCTTCCACTGCTTTCCCAGGCCACAGCAGGGAGCTGGATCAGAAGTGGAGCAGCCGGGACTCGAACTGGTGCCCATATGGGATGCCGGCACTGCAGGCAGTGGCTTTACCCATTATGCCGCAGTGCCGGCCCCTTCTTATTTGTTTTTAAGATTTATTTTATTTATTTGAAGGGCACAGTGAGAGAGAGAGAGAGAGAGAGAGAGAGAATCTTCCATCCACTGGCTCATTCCACAAAATGGCTACAACAGCCAAGGATAGGTCAGGCTGAAGCCAGGAGCCAGGCACTCCATCCTAGTGTCCCACATGGACGGCAGGGGCCTGGGTACTGAGCCGTCATCACCGGCTGCCTCCCAGGGTGTGCAGCAGCAGGAAGCTGGAGTGAGAGCAGGGGCAGCCCTCAGACCCAGGCACTCCCCTGTGAATATCCCACATGACCACGGGGCCCCATGCCCGGCCACTTCCGGCTGCGTGTGAACCGGACCTGGAACTACCTCAAATACAAATACTTTAAAAACTCTCCCCGTCCACTGGGATGTCTACTGCCCAAAAATAACGGGAAATCCCGAGTGCTGGCTGGGAGAGGAGAACCTGGGGCCCTTGGGCGCTGAGGCGGCCACCAAACCGGGGCAGCCGAAGGGAGAGCGGCACGCAGCGCCCCGGAGCGCACAGCCCGGAGCGCCCGAGCAGCTCAGCCGCCGGCTTCAGGGTGAAAACCCAATCAGGACCTCAGAGACAGCCCCCGCGCCCACCCGTGCCCGTGGCTGGTGGGTGGACAGAGAGAATGCAGCACGTGGGCGTCGCCAAGGAGAAAACTCATCGCTGGCGCAGGCCAGCCTGGGTGTGGGCGGAGCTTGGACAGGGCTCTGCGACAATTGAATGAAAGTCACCAGACTCAGACCGACTGTGCCCCAGGCCCGCTGCAAGGCAGCTTGTCCCCTGCGCCCAGGGGTCCAGGGGCTGGAGGTGAGTTAGGGAGCCCCCAGGGGCAGGGGTGAGTTAGGGAGCCCCCAGGGCGGGAGGTGAGTTAGGGAGCCCCCAGGGCGGGAGGTGAGTTAGGGAGCCCCCAGGGGCAGGGGTGAGTTAGGGAGCCCCCCAGGGGCAGGGGTGAGTTAGGGAGCCCCCCCAGGGGCGGGAGGTGAGTTAGGGAGCCCCCAGGGGCGGGGGGTGAGTTAGGGAGCCCCCAGGGGTGGGAGGTGAGTTAGGGAGCCCCCCCCCCCCGGGGCGGGAGGTGAGTTAGGGAGCCCCCAGGGGCGGGAGGTGAGTTAGGGAGCCCCCAGGGGCAGGGGTGAGTTAGGGAGGCGCTGGCAGCTTGGGCCCTAGAGCCAGCCGCCCTCTGATAGACAGCACAGAGCACCCAGCGCCCGCCCGCCCGCCTTCGGAATCTCCAGTGCTGCGGAGCCGCCAGGCCTCCCAGTCCACACAGTTCTTGTTTGTTTTGCACTGGGCGATTTTTATCTTGGTTAACGACCTGCAATGGAATGTGCTTGGGCCTTAAGGAGGAGGGAGTTTCTGACACGCGCTCTGGGCGGGCCGACTGGGAGGGCACTGTGCTGAGTGACACAAGCCAGTCACAAAAGCACACAGGCGGTGCGACGTCACTCAGATTCACAGACACAGAAATAGAGCGGTGGGGGCGGGTAAATGGGAACCTGCCGGGTGTTGTTTGTGCTTTTCATTTTATTTGAAGTGGGGGGGGGGCGAGAAATGGAGATAAACCTTCGACCTGCTGGTTCACCCCCTCCGCCCCGCCCCATGCCTGCAACAGCTGGGGCTGGGCCAGGCCAAAGCCAGGAGCCAGGAGCTCCATCCTGCTCTCCCACAGGCGTGGCGGATCCTCACCTGCTGCCTCCCAGGGTGTGTGTTGGCAGGAAGCTGGATCTGAAGTGGAGCAGCTGGGACTCCAACCAGGCACCCTGCTGTGGGATGCAGGTGACCCAAACAGCGGCTTGACTTCTGTGCCAGCGCCGGCGCCGGGAGCGGCTGCTCGCTGTGGGCACAGCTCTGTTTGCGGATGGAAGAGCTCGGCAGGTGTGCACAGCCCGGTGAGCCCACCCGGGAACCCCAAAAGGCAGGTGGAAAGGTGGCCTGAGAGACAGGATCGTTCTGCTGCAGACAATGGTGGAATCCGTGCACACGAGACTCGGTCTCCAGAGTTCACGAAAGATGCATTTGATGGACAAGCTGCACATGGATTTTAAAGGTTTTAAAAATCTACTCATCTTAGCCGGCGCCGCGGCTCACTAGGCTAATCCTCCACCTTGCGGCGCCGGCACACCGGGTTCTAGTCCCAGTTGGTCTTCCTTTACCGTTGGTTCACCCTCCAATGGCCGCCACGGCCAGCGCACCGCACTGATCCGATGGCAGGAGCCAGGAGCCAGGTGCTTTTCCTGGTCTACCATGGGGTGCAGGGCCCAAGCTCCTGGGCCATCCTCACCTGCACTCCTTGGCCACGGCAGAAGGCTGGCCTGGAAAAGGGGCAACCTCGACACACGCCGGTGCCCCGACAGGGACTTAACCCCAGACATGTTAGCGCAGCTCGGCGGACGATAAGC